GGCAACAAAAAATAAAAATTAAAAGCAAAATAGTTAAAAAAAAAAAAAAAAAAAAAAAAAAAAAAAGAAAAAAATCAGATAACGGCAAAGACTTCAAGCCTTGACCATATTCTTTCAAGGTTTGAGACGTTAACTAGGTTATTACTACCTTTTCGTTGTCTCTGTTGAATCTGTGAATCCCAACTGCTTCAGGAGTAATTTCCATCACATCAAAGTAGAAACCTGCATCAAGGAACATTAAAGAGTGTCATGTTTGCTCCTTGCCCAAAGTTGGAATCTTATTTCAGCACACAGCTAAAATGATAATAAATGTTTATCACATATTTGGAAAGACATTTGAGTCACCACACAGCCTGTTTCTTAACTAATTTCAGTCCACACATTTATCAAATTTAACTACTTTCAGTTTACAAAAATGTGGATCTTAAGCATGTCTGGCTCGAGGCATCCAAACAATATAACAAACAAGTCTACAAAAGAGCACACATCCACCAGAACACACACACATGCAAGTAACATAGATAACATAAAATACATCTGAAGAAATAGTTTCAGTAGGTCATATGCAAGGGTGAGAGGGAGAAAAAAAAAGAAAAAATAGTAAGTTAGTAAGAAGAGTACAGGAATACGGGAACACTTCATGCACTGGATTAGATTTCATGAGCTTATTAGGGAACATCAGATATTTTAAGTCATGAAGCAGAGCTGGTCTCTGAATAGTTTTGATGAGATCTGAAGAAATGCAGTAATGCTTTGTAGACAGCTAGACAAAAAGTGTGAAAAAGATTTCTTTTGTGTTGACGGCAAGAAGGGTTGGTCAGAAAAGACATTCAAGAAAGGAGACAAAAAAAGAAAATGAGGACAGAAAAACTGAACTGAATAGCTAAGAAACTAAAGAGAGTTTCTAAGGTTCAGATCTTTGGAACAAGAGTATGCTGTCCTGGCAGCCCTATGAATATTAGAATATTAAAACACAAAAATAGTACTGTGCTTCAGCACACATAGTCTTTTTGGTTAAACATTCTGAAAACCTGCCAGTAAGCAACACGGCAGCTTACAGATCTGCAGGCCCTACCAGGGAATGGATATCAAAATTTCCTTTCTGACCCTGCTGCCACCTTGAATCTGGCATACGAGGTCTTCAAGTAAACTTGTTCTATCAGCCTTCTCAGGTACCTCCCAGACGCAACAGGACCCTCATCTCTTCACCACTCCCTGTAACCTATTTGTTACCCTGTTCCTCTCATTCTGCCAACCTCACTTTAGCAGCTGCCTCTGCCGGTCCCCAAACCTCCACAGCCTCCAGGGGCACCTTCTCACACAACAGGGAACGCCGGGAACAAGTGATAAAAGGGAGGGTGCCTAACCAGTTACTTCTTTGCCCTGCTTCCCTCGGGAACTCAGATTACCAATATCCAAGCATGCAGGTTATAGAGGATGACTTTCACAAAACACCCATTTTTGTAGGGGACTGAGATATCCAGGTGAATATGCCATAATACAAATTTTAAAACTTTAAAGCAGTGTCCTGATATATCCCTGAAATCAGTAAAAATATTTTCATCAATTTCCAATGTTTTTAATTCTGCCTAAAGTGGCTGACTTCTGGGTTTTGGAATAACTTCTTCCCATTTTCTGAAACACCTGAATTGATTTTGTCTTTTAGTGAAAAGAGATTCCTGTCCTTTTAATATCCCACACAGACTGGATTTCACAGACAACATAACAGAGCTTCCAAAAACAAAATCAGTGCTAACGTCACAGTGTCAAGAAACTGTATCTTAAATTCACATTCCTAAGGAATGAAGTCTTCTATAGCTTAAATATCTACATTAAAAAACTTTGCTACCTACAGGTTTTTTATATCATTTTTAATCATATTAATTCAGATCTAGTATGATTGCAATGTTTTCAAACCCAGCTCTGTAATGGTTAATTCTTCATCTTGATTACACATATGCTCACCTTTGAATAACTTATTTCAGAGCTATATACTACACCAGTGAAATGTTAAACTGTAGGAAAGAAAATAACTTAAAACTTCAAATACGTGGGTTTATTAATATTTTTTAAATATTTCCATCACCATTTTGTTTGATTTCATTCACTTAGCATAACGTGGGAAAAACAAGGATGAAATGACACTGTGACAGACACTGGGGAAACGCAGGAAATCTAGGCACCATTTGATATTACTGCTTTCTTCATATGCACTGAACAAGATTCTAGAGTAATGTTTAGAGATCAAAACCATTGAAGATTGAGAAAGAAATAGTATGGAGCTACTTAATCCACCTGGTTTGAGTCTTCTTTGAGTAAAAAGAAACAAACTTTCATGAAAGCCTCCTTCAGAAATTACTAGTTTTAAACATTCTACAGCTAACATGCTACTAGCACCTTCTCAATGACCAAGACAGCTCCATAAATATCATTTTCCTACTTAGTGAATATTGAAGAAAAATACTATCATGTCACTTAGCTTGCCAACAGAGCACTTCTAAGTACACATTAGGAATTTCTCTTACTCTAGTTAACTTAATTCTTGGCCTTTATAATGACCCAAGTGAAAAGTAGGTACAACTCCCACAAAACCACGTGTCTAAGCAAACCCTGGAACTCCCAGCCCTGCTAAGGCTCATACCCAAGTTTCCATTGTTTCCAGCAACAGTAGATGATAAGGCTTTGGAGAATTCATCCCAGGAGCCTGAAGCACAGTCATCTCTGATCCTCTCTCTCATCAGAGAGCCGTTCTTAAAACTGAAACACACAAACATACCATATGCATTTTCCGAAACATTTGGCTCTAGATTTTTAGAGCAATTTGTTGTTTTACTCAATATTGGAGTTTATTGTACCAGCTGAATACAGCTGGGCAAGCTAAAAGATACAACCATTTCTTCATGATGGAAAGAGATGGAGAGGGAGAAAACTAGATAAGAGAGAAAACAAATATTACAGGACATGTTGAGGAATGCAGTGCACAGATGCTGGTATACATCTCTCCAAAGAGTCAGCTTAGACCCAGTCTGGCAGGCCATGCTAAACCCAGGTTACCTCTGAACAGCTAAGACATCTCCTCAGAGCTCCACGCACAGGAGCTGCAGCCCACTGCCTGACTTACTATGGTCTCTTGGAGCTCAAAGCGCTGGAGAACACATGGTACGCACTGATGGAGCAGGAGCTCTGATCATGCTGGTCCTGGAGCAGGTCCTGTGGAGCTGCGTTTCTGCACTGTGCCAGCACTCCCGTGAAGAGCTTCACCAAGGCTGATTGCACCCAGCAGCCAAGATGAATACCTAGTTTTGGACTATCTGCAGATGAACCTTGTAACTGCTTTAGAGAGAAATGTTCTGTGCTGTGGTTGCAGAGGTAGCTCTACTATGCATTGTCAGAAGTACTCTGACCCAGCGCTAAAAAGATCACTCTGAGATGACTCTGCAAGGACGAGCAAGAGCCTTTCTATGCTGCATTTATGATTTCAGGAGCATGGTACCAGTATGGAGCCAGCTTGGGTCCAACAGGACTTATGAGGTCTAGCTCCGTACCAGGATCTGGCACAGGCAAGCACCACAGCTGCATCGGCACGGTTCTGGTCCAGAGCCAGTAAACCATGCTGTAAAATATTCATCTGTTCAGTGTTTATCTTTGCACCCTTTACGCAGTCACCTCCTTCGCTTCCTCTGTGAATATAACACTCCTGCAAAACACTGCAGCATTGGACTCGGACCCAGAGGAAAGCAGTTTGAATACCCTCTAGCACGGAGTTATCAGAGCAACTCAGCAGGAAAGGCACAGAACTATCCAGAAAGAGGGCAAGAAAATTATTGAACTTGCTCAGTAACAGCAGCTGAAGTTACTCAAGTTTTCTGTACAAATACTCTGCCTGGTAGCTCAGGCACTCTTCTTCTACTAACCCAGGTAAGTCCCCTATTAACTCCATTATTTTATAAAAAAAAGGGGCATTGCTGCAAAAAGGGCAGCGTCAGGGCAGAAATGGCTAGGCAGGGGGAACTAGAACTCCTTCTATCTGCATGGCTATGGAAATATCTTGTGTTCTGAAAGGCAGGTTTGGCCTTCTGCACATGTTAAGCTGCAGTCAAAGAATGGCAGTATAACAGTTATTCAGAAAAATGCCTCTGCATCTCCTTTCCTATTAAAAACAGGTTGTTTATATAGCTCTTTTACGCAGCAAAAGTGGGAAAAATATTGGGTAAAGGAGAAACTTGAATGCAAAACTTCAAAAAACAACCAAATGCTGGGAAATCATACTATGAAACCCAGTGACTTGCACTAGACATTGCGCTTTTGCACTCAGCTTCATGAGCACTGTTCCCACTGTCATCGACAGCATCCTATTACTGTACAGGTAAGACTCGACATTACGGCTAAAGGGCAGATTTGAGCTTTGCTGAAGTTTTGAGTTACAAGCACCTACAATCCAGGGGATTTAGACACAAAATTTATCTGCATATTACTTGTAAATATTTGCCTAAGCACTATGACCTGTTTTGGAAGGTTTTGCCCTGAATACAGTGACTCAGTGAGGGAAAACAGATTCAGGCCATCTTTCCACCTACTTGGCTGGCAAGGGGCCAAACAATTCCCAAATCACAGTGGCCAAAAGCTACCAGGAGGATCATTCTCTCAGCTGGGTTTCTTGAGATCTCAGTATTCTCCACATGCTCAGCCTAATACGTCCCTGAACAGCACTGATCATGCTCCTCTACGAAAAGGGAATCTTCACCTGTCCTGTTATGTCCCCTCTGGACCACTAGAAGAGCACAGACGTTATACAGCCTGGTCAAGCTTCTGACATTTTACATTATTGTATTTCAGAAGACTGGTATTCCTGTACATTAAATGCATGCTATGCTTAGATACACAGTGAACTGGCTCTGTGTATACGTAAAAATAATTTCAGCTTTTTATTGCCATGAGAATTTATCCTCCACAACTCTGCAGTTTCAGTTACTCAAATTAAACAATAGGAATGCTATAACGTTGATGCAAATGTTTCAGCAGTAGATTGCCATATACCATACAGAACGCTGAATGTTCTATTCATTATCGTTTTGCAAAAGAAATGAAAACACTAACACAGAGGAAGAAATATATGTTATTGATCCCAGATGTACAAAAAATAAATTATATTACCATAAAAGTGCCATATATGTTTGAGAATCAACAGGATTGCAGAGGATGTGACCTTCTAAGGCAGGAGCTGGTTCTTGGAGCCACAGAAACAATGTGTCACTTGTGCCAAGGCTAATCTGGAGGGGAAAAAAAAATAATTGAAGCGTTATCACAATGTGCATGGAAAGCAATACAGAAATTAAATTAAAACCATTTGTTATTACCACTAATTGTTTTTAAATTACACATTAAGTCAATTGGATTCATGCTGAAGCTAGCTCTGACTTCGGTTGTCAGACCATTGAAATACATACTAGATGGAGACTTAGGTTTTCATGTCTGGAGCATCAGTTAAAAATAGGCACAAGAGTTTACTTAAAATCTTTCAGGCAGCTTATAGATTGATAGAAATAAAACAAGCGTGAATCCAATAAACAGAAAATCAACACTAGCAGATAAATTTAACTGATAACCTACATTTTACATTTCATGTATGTCATTTATTCGGGGATATGGACAGTTTTCGGGAGTATGTTTTGACTTACTGCAATATCTCCTTCTTGAAGTCTCATCCCTGCCAATGATGCTGAAAGCAAAGAGTCAGAATACCAGATAAAAAGTTAATCGTTTGACTCTATTACAGCATGTTGCATGAGACATCATAATACATCGCATTCACCATCTCAAAGTACGATATAAACGGCAAACATGCTCCTGGTGGCCTTGGCCTATACACTGTAAAAAATGGGCAAAGCATTTGGGCGAGGGAGTGATTTTTAACAGGACCAAAATGCTCAAGACAAAAGACTACAGAACTGTGTGATCCTCTAATGTTTTATGTATTCAGGTTTTAAATACAGAGGACCCTTACTTAACAACACACTCTAAAGGAGAAACACTCCCACTTACATCAGATACTCACATATTTATTGGACTAAGCTGGATTTGAATCTCTAGAAGAAAAATTGGACTTTTGGGAAATGCAAAGTTTAACCCTCTCCTAGAATATGAATGTAAAATATACCGTGATGAAGCCTCCATCTTGATTCAAACCTGCATATGCCACTATAATACGGATAAGTATTTTATTTTCACAGTCTTGAGAAACAGGCGACTTTGCTCTACACTGAAACAATCTCCAAGATTCCAAAAACTGACCCTAAATTAACACCTTCCCTTATACTGATAAGTCTGAAAAAAGGATGGCTCTAATTCTTAGAGAAAGCCTGAGGTCCATCTCCACCTTTTTGCTTGAAAAGATAAAACAGCAATTTTTAATTCATATTTTCTAAGTTAAAATGTTAGCAGTTCATAGTAAGAATAGTTTCTTAGGGGCAGGCAAACCAAAACTGAAGTTATCAAGAAGCAAATGAAGTCACCTCTATTAGTAAGCAAAAGAGAATTCATTTGTCATAGCCAGCTTATCCAAGATGCCTGTACCTCAGAAGAACCAGTGATGGAGGGCTGCTGGAAAAAGGTATTAATGCTGATAAACACGATATTCTTTCACTATACAGGGAGCATCTGAGAAGCAATGAGATTGATTTAGAATTTTAGTACATACATAATCATATTCACAGGATCTTATACATTTAATCATCTCACCTGGATTGTCTCCTGTAAATGCTACTATTTTACAGTCTGGGCTAAACCCATAACGCTGACTATAATATGGAGAAATGGGCCCCTAAGGAAAGAAAGAAAGAGAGGAAAAAAGCTCAAAAAATGGAAAGTAATCTTGCAATGTATGACACAACGTGTTGTAACATAGAAATGAAAACTCCAAAGCAGTTGTAATAATCATTTCTGTGTATTTAAGGTATGAATGAATATTTTAAAGATTTTGAACCCAATTTGTTTGTTGTTGAGAACCTCACAGAAATATCCTCAGATTAGATTTTGAAATAGGTTAAGTAAATAGTAACATTTTAGCTTTGGGTCTCTCTCCAGTTATTCACATCAAGTCACATAAAACACATCCATCTATTTTGCACACATACATGAATATTAATACATAGAAATTAGAAATTCAATGCAAACATAAGAGGAAACACCACATTAATATACATCACAACATCAAATGCTGGAATATGACCCCTATTATTTTAGGGATCAAGAACTGTATTCTTTTAAGCCACATTTGATAGCCATAGAGAAAAAACAGGAGAAGAAAACTATCCGTAAGAAATACAAGGACATCTACAAGGATTTTTTATGTGTTCCTCTCCATTACAGAAGATCAGCACTGAATTCAGATGGATCAGGTGATGGGTATCTACACTCTCTTGCATGCGCACCAGATAAAGCAATAGCTCTTTTTGTGCTGGGTAGTAAGACTAAATTCATTTACTCCAAGAGATGTGCGGCTTGATTTGATTTCAGCATTATGCTACATGAACTGAGGAGCTTTAAATATCCCAAATTATTCACAAAGATTACCTCATTAACTCTACAAACAGTTTAAAACACAGTCCCTGTCAAGAAATGCAAATGTTGGGCTCTGTTTCTGCAGTAATAAATACCGTGCACAGTTCTGCAGTGACCAGGTGTTTGTGGGCATGAGGGGGGACCCCAGAGATTCTTATCACTGGAGCATTTACCAAAACTTTTCTCATCATAGCCCAGGGCATGCAAGAATCCGAGGTGATCAATGATGAAAGCTACGACAGACACCAACTACCAGTCACTTTTCAAAGATGGCTGTTTCTGCTCTGGCATACACATTCGCAACACACCTGGAAATATTAAATCAAGCAGCGTAGCTCTGAGGATAACTGTGCATGAACGCTTGCACGCACGCACAAATACACTCCAACTGCAGAATTCTCAGCACAAAGCTCGATTCGTTGCTTACAACTCTAGAAAGACAGGCACATACCAGGACCGAATGGGATGGTACAGGGCATCCTAGTTTCTCCTCTAATCCAGGTGCACAAGCATCAAGGCAGGACACTGACCATACCTTTTCCCAAATCTGCAGCAAGTTCATACCAGAACCTACAAGACAGATCAAACCAAGAGGCATGTATCATTAAACATAAGACAGTACTGTATCAGAAACTTCCACCTCGTTACAGGCAGCAGAAAATTTACGGATGCGTATTTTACATTCACAAAGAATGGGTACAGCTCTTCTAAGCATGAAGGATACTGATGATTCAGCCTCTGGATAGCTTTCACCTGCACAGGTAGCAGAAAAGGCTTCTCCGATGCACAATGCACTAGACAATTCAGTTATTCCCAAACCAAGAGCAAAAGGAAGAACACTCATGCCTCCCCATCAATTCCTCCCCAAATCTTCCACCTTAGACAGAGACTTCACTACAACTATCTAAAGGTGATGCAGCAACGTCACTTGAAGGCTTGTTGTGCTCACCCAAGACCTAAGAATGAAGAAATTCCCCCCTGGGTGGTATGGCTTTATACTACTCCTGCCTTTCAGTAGAGTATCATATAAGCATCTAAATCCATGCTGACTCATCTTCCTCCGTATCAATGGTTCGTTCTTCAGAGATGACAAAATAAAGGCTTAGAAGTCAGAAAAAAAAAAAAAGGTGCAAGAGGGCAAATTTTGAAATGCAGCTTTAATTTTGAGGCTAGTTTGGAGAGTCCAGCTTTAAATACCAAAGTCACAATTTTCAGAAACGCTGAACAGCCCAGCTGAGGTCTACATAACATACTGAGCACTCCGCATCCCTTGCTTATGCTTCTAAGATGCCTTTAATTGCACATTTCATTAAAGTTGAAAATCTGTATGTGTTTCTGGTTAGTACTGTTCAGGGACATATCAGTCTTATTCTAGATGAACATTTTCATTTCAAAGGCTGCTTAGCCCACAGCTTACTTATCTCAGACACACAGCCACATTCTCAGGTGAGCACAGTGGAAAACCTGAAATTTACTTAATTTAATACACCTTTAAACTTTTTAAAACACAAAGACGGTGAAGTTGACCCGATTTGCCGTGTCTGTGGAATAAGAGCACGCTTGCGATGCTGAGACACAGAGGAAGAGAAGGGATGCAACCACATCTCAGGCAGCACATCACGAGGCTCTAGCAGCACTCTTACGCTAAAGAAGGGCACCCGCCTGCCGCCCACCCCACACACCGACACTACTGCTGCTTACGCACGCGCAAATGAGCCCACCCTATCAATTCCCAGCAGCCTTTTTCACGTAGGCTTAATTATTTATAAATGTTTTTAAATTCATTAAGTATCTATTTGTGCAGTCCAATCCTAAGCACCATCAGCAAGGTCCGGACCTAGTGCTTCACACACTGTTATAAACAGAAAGCGCTGCACGCTCCAGCTGAGCCACTGGAATAACCCAAGCCAAACAGTAGGATATTTGGATTATACTTAATAACATATAAAATAGAATTCAATATATTAAATTTAATCAATCCTACTTCAGGCGAATGGAGCACACTTAACATATTGTGCAGTGGTTTATGTGGCCTATGATGCAACGGCAGGAATTTGATGGAGCACAAAAGTGCAACACACCTCCTGCAGGCAGAAGGTGCCTGTCCCTTTTCTGCTGTCAAAATTGCTACCACTCACAGAAAAGGGAAGATGGCAACATTTACTCCAGCTTCTCTCAGTTCTCTACGTGAGACCACTCTTAAATCTCGCCATCCCCTCTTTCCAGGGGTAAACTGAGTTCTTTCAGGGTAAACTGAGCCCAGCATCACTGTCTGCACTTCCCGGAGGCAGAGGGTGTGAGCAGCCTCGCGTCCCAAGCTCCCGGGCATAACAAGGCTTTCTGTGAGGAAATACGTAAAGCTACACGTTTTCCTGGAAAAGTCCCTAATTTAAAAGGCCAAGCAGCCCTTCGCTAAATTAAGTTAACCAGTGAGCAACAGAAACGTTAAATAAATAGGAATTTTACCAGAGAAAGGTTAGTTGTTGTTTTCTGTGGGTTTTTTTGAAAAAAATCATTTCCCCCCCCCGCAAGCCTAGAGAAACATTTAACCAGTATCCTCCAATGCAATTTTGCAAGACATAAGGACAGCCTCCAATCTTTTCTGCATAAAACAGGAAAACCACTAACCTTTATAACTGAAAAGGTCTAAGTTTATATTATATAGAAACAACACTTCAGTTTATTGACTGGTAGATATAGTTGCACAAAGACTTTAATATGCCCTGAGAAAAGAAAGATGAGCTAATTTACCCCATCCTCAGAAACTCATTTAAAAGATGTGAAACAACTCCTTTACAAGAACTATTAATATGTTGGCCTGCATTCATCCTATCCAACTGCGGGCACTTGTCAGTGGAAAATAAAAACCAGAGCTGAATACTCCCTGCAACTGCTTCTCTTTCTCCTTTGATTATACAGGGAGTGATGCACAGTGAGTTCCTAACTCAAGCACCTCTGGTCATGTTTTACACTGCTAAGTTTACCATATCAAATAAGTAATAATCTGAGAACTAAGGGGAAAAAAAAAAACAAAAATCAAAGGCAGCCCTTTGACTTGTCATTCCAAACGGATACCCCATCAGCAACGAAGGTCAATAGCCAAGGCCATGATCTAGTAAGGACTGAGGAAAGGGTCAATACGTGGATGAATAGGATTCAGTATTTCACTGCAAGCATCACTGACTCTTAACATAAAATGACCAGGAGCACAATCAGGACTTGCTAGTATTTACTACATATACAAAAGTGTAAGTGCTTCAGTGCCGGGGGGCGTGGGGGAGGAGGAAATTCATTACAAAGACCAAACAATGCAGACTAATTGGTTTTATTAATCAACAAACTAAAGATCAATATTTGCATACATTTATAAACAGTTAAGTGCATCTGTATTACAGCACTCCGGATTGCCTTTTCAGTGAGCTAAAATCGTAAGCAATGTAACTCTGCTGACACCACGCAAGCTACATTAGGAGTAAATTCAACCCACCACGCTTCCTTTTGAAAAGGCTTCAGTTTGAAGCATCCTTGTTTGATAGAACAACAAAAACAAGTACGCTAAGCTATGATTTGCCTAAGGCTCTTAGAAAAGCATTTCAAAAGATAACGCTTCTCTAGGTCAAGAGCTGAATAGCTGTTCTTTAAGGTGTCTTCTAAAAGAAACAATGCCTCAAGTGTTCAAGTTGTTTAGGTCCCAAATGTATCTTACTTTTAACATCTGCACAATATAAATGAAAATCATTCTTCATTCCACCAGAACGTAATTTGATTTTTTTTAAATCAGTCACCCAGGGTGCTCAGCCATTCACGAGGAGTGATTTGAACCTTACGAGATTGGACCTTTAAAAAGAAAAAAAACATCCTGAAACTGAATAGCACATTTCCTACAATAACCTGCAAATTTAAAGAGATAAGTTATTGTGCAGAGCTAAACAATTTGACAGTGTCTTTTGAAGACTATATGACCTGAATTTAAACCTAGAGAAATGAAGAATAGGTCTATTATCTGAACAGTATTTTGAGATGCATTTTAAACTACAATATACAGGTGCAATGCAAAAGATCAAGTGAATTGCAAGAAATCATAAATGACAAGAAAACAACTTTTTCAGCTGGATCCAAATAACTACTGCATACATTATAATTCTATTTTATTACCAGAATTAAATTCTCTCTCATTATGTTAGCAGAAGAAAAGAACTAACAAGACAAAACAGAGCTTACAATGCCAAAAAATCTTTTGTCTTGTAAAGAGAACTATAACATCCTGCTTAGTTCTCTTATCTTTTTTTTCACACAAAGATTTAATAATCTTACATACTCTCAACAGTAGATAACATTTATTCAAGTTCTGTAAATATCCAGAGGTGTAACAGAACAGGCTCTCCTAGAGCTGTTTGAAAAATAAAATACGTTTTCTATGAAAATTTTCCAATGAAGCAAATTTTCATTTTCTTCAGTTTAAAATGTTTTCATTTTCCATCAAACACAGAAATTCTCATGTTCTGAAGCTGAAGAAGCACAGATTTCCCCCACTTTCTTCCAGGCAGAAAAGGCAGAGGTAACATTACCAAAAAAAGAAAAAAAAACAAAAAAACAAAAAAACAACCAACCAACAAAAAAACCAACCCCAAAACCAAGATTTTTTTAAAAATTCTTATATTTTTAAACATTTGAATCAAAATTAACACTTCACTCTCATTGAAAAATAAGAAGTGAACATAGTTCTTTACCAGAAAAAGTACCCTGAAGATCTCACCATCTCTCTTTGAAATGCAGTACATGGAGCTAGTTCTGTGGGTTGCCGAGTGGCTGAAGCGCTCAGTATTTGGGCCTACTGAGGGGCAAAGCGCACATCTCCAAAGAGTTATTGTTGCCAATAATACACAAAAAAAAAATAAAATTCAGCTGTGAAAACACATGGCTAACAGAACAGGACCAGGAGACAGATGTCATAATCTCACAACTGCTGCAAAATAAGCATGGATTGTCTTGCAATTTTTAAGGTATCAAGTATAACTGGGAGATCTGATATTGAATAAGTTGTCCATTAGCTAAAACTGAGGTTTCGTGCCTTTTCCTATGAGCTTTGATGGAACAACGAAGGAGAAAAAATGAGTTGGTCTTAACACATGGGTGTCAACTACGGCTCTATAATGCAAAATTTCCTTAGAGCGCCTTGTTATCTAATCTTTCAGCTCTGAAATATATCTTCTCTTAGTTTCAGAGCAGGAATCAAAAATGCTATTTAGAAATAACAGCACAGCTCCCAGGAAAATGGTTTCCTTTGTAATTGCCATTTAAAATTGCCATTTAAAAGCTGGATAACTGAGATAACACACAACAGAAAAGAGAGACACTAGCCTTGTCACTTTTTTGTCTTTGTTATGATGAAGAGAGAGATATGGAAGGTTGTTTTGTTTTTGTTTTTTTTTTTAAACTGAGTTTAGGATTTTTTTTGCTTGGTTTATGCTTTTTTCTCTCATTAATTTCAAAAAGATATTTCTGTTGCAGATTCATACTCCAGTTGGGGAAGGGAGGGGGAATAATCACAATATACATCTTGTTCACATCCTGTGCAACTCAGAGCTAAACCAGCAAAAGCAAAGAGCAAATATCAGAACTACGAAGTCTAGCTTAAAAATCCACAACTTTTTCATGCTTTTAAATAGATATTTCAACATTCCTTTATACATCATAAAGTAATGGAAAAAAGGTACAATTTCGTTTAAGAATATTTTCTGCAGATCCATTTTGTAGAAATGGGAACCATAGTATGATGGGGATAAATAAGCACAGCTGACAGCGCTATCAAGAGTAGCAACAAATTGAAAGGAGTAACTTAGCTTAAAATCTAATATACTTGTCATTAAAGACTGAAAATAAATAGCAAAGACCTTGTCTCCCGTTTATGTAAGGTGGGGATGGAAAGGAACATTTCCTTGTTGAATTGTTACTACAAGAAAAGCCCACAAACTTACCATCACTATAATCGATGGGTGCATAAGCTCCTAGGAAAAGGGAAGACGCAAAACTACTAACCAAAGAGATTCTCTGAAAGAAAAAGAGTGAGGTAGTGAGTCCCATCAGTATTCACTTCAAAGAAAGTAAATAATTAAATAATTGGAAGCAGCAAATGTTAATAGATGCTTAATGTTAAGCACAGAAAGCACACACAAATACGCCTAGAAGGATTACTCAGTTCTGTCTTACTGCCTAAGTAATACTGCAGATATTAATCTAAAAGTAACCCCATGATAAAACCTGTTAATAGCTTTGCATTCTGAAACATGCAAAATACACCTAGTATATTAGCATACGCTACGTTATCATGAATTAATTCACAACTTCGGTGTATCACAGAACCTCATTTCAAGGGAAAACACTTACTAAGAAAAAAAAAACCAAACAAAACCACCTGTATGTTGACAACAGGGCAAATGCCCAGAAACCATGCACTGGGCAGCCCAGAGCACAGGTCTGTAAGCTGTTCACCACCTCTGGCTAGGCTCTGCTAGCACCTTTACGTGAACTCTTACCCTCCTCCCAGCTGAGACCCCAGACCTCCCAGGAGTTACTCCCAGGAGCTGCTAATAATCAGCTTTGAACTGAACCACCACCTGCAGCTCTGCCTCAGGGTATGTTCCAACAACGCATTACATCCAGCTGTAGGGCTTCTAATACTGGCCCAAAAACGCCCCAGCCACAGGACACAACGCACTGATCCAACATGAACTTGCTTCCACTTCAAATCTGCTATACAAACTACCAAGTTAACTGGCTACTGCCAAGCTTTCTGCAGGATCAAGTATTATCTGTTCCCAAGAAGCTGGCATAAAAGCTGACAAATTCCTTATCGTGCACTCTGATTAATTCAGAAGAAATATGATTGTCACCCAATAACTAATTAGAATCACATCTCTACTGGTGGAGTGAGCCAGCAGTGACATTTTTTTTATTAATGATCATAAAACCACTGCTTCACGCAGCATTCAAAGACAAACTACAGCCAGAGCTCTAAGAGGTGGTTATAATGGCCAGGAAACTTAATGATGCACTTGCTCTTCGCGCATCTTTCCCCAAGAATATATCACATTGTGCTTAGATAACGAAGGCCTACCTTCTGTGGTGCCCCAATGGGCACTAGCTGCCTGAAATGGAAGGAAAAGGATGAAGTTAAACTGTGAATCAGTCAGTTTAGCAAGCTGACCTAGAGAAGGAAAAACATCCACCTTCCATGTCATTGAGGCTGCCGAGCTGCTAAGTACTTCCTGAGGGTTCCCAAGAGCAACCCTGACATAGAGATATTTTGTGCTTGAACATATCTTGCATATCCTTTAACGCTAAAAGGTGCCACCAGTGCAACCAGCCCTCAAAGTCTGAGCTTGGTCTGACTAGTTCTCAGTTCCACAGACCCACTTCCCCTCCACTAACGCATTTTTCTCCAAATGTAGTCTTAAGCTTATGATCAGAGTTGTATTAGTGTTCTGTTTCACCCCATCGCTTACTAGCATAAAGGTTATAGAACATGTACTTAGAAAGAAAAAATGGAAAAAAAAGCAGCATTGACTCACAAAATACAGAGTCAACTTTGCAACTCACTTCCCCATGAAGTTCCCAAGGGGTCCGATTGTAAAAGCCACAAAAAAATTATGATCAATACTATCAAGAACTGCAATAATACAAAAACACGAGCGGCCTGACTTCACTGGTTTGGGTGTTTGGCATATTCTAATCACATGACAGGCGCCCTTCCCTCATTTACATCATATTTGCATGGAGTTTTCACCTTGCTTCAAACCATGGCATTTCAGTCACAGCTAGATGCAGACTCAACAAACTGAAATAATGGAACTGCAAGCTGATTTCTGAAAATTAAAAATCAGAAGGAAACCAACTACACAACGCAATTCATTTGTAATAATAGAATCAAAGTAGCTCCTCAAGGGAAAAACTATGAAGAAAGTCTAGAATCAATTGCAGGCTTTTTTCCTACACACATCCACATGGATGCCAGCTTTGTATGGCAGAGCAATCACATTTCTGCATGCAGACGGCCAGTTCTAAGTGCGGACATTTCAACTGTGTGCTTAATTACCCACTTGTGTTCGAACTGCCGTACATACAATTTATTACCACTCAAATGAAAGTCTGTTTTTTTAAAACTTCTTCCACAAAGGTGAGATCCAATTGAGCCCGCTGTGTTAAACGTAACATTCAAGACAGAACTGATGCCCCATTTTTATCTGCCCAATGACTAATAATTTAACAAAACCAAAATAATCAAATTTACAATTTTCATCTTAAAACCAAATGCAAGAATCAAAATACTCTTTAGCAAAACAGTCTGACATCCCCACAAAATTAATTTTAAAAGATTTTCAACTATGTTTTCCGATAAGTGTATTGAAGTTGAGCCAACCTCAGTTTGCATGTAGACCTCAGGATTCTGGCTGTAAATCTTTGCTATCTGGTTTCCTGTAAAACGCTGAGAAAGAAATGCAAATGCTTAGAAACACAAACCCTAAATGGAGTCAATAATCATTAACTCTGTGTAATGAGTTCAGCACATTGCACTTTGGATATTTAATTTGCCTGATGCATGATGGAAGTCAGGGCACAGCAGGCAATCTGTACTAAACAGGCTATAACGCATAGTCTCATTATGAGAATTTTGCTCACCTTTTGAAAAAAAAGCATGTGAAAAAGTATTACTATCCATAATTTACATTTCAGAAATGACAGTTCAATGGAATGAATCACACTTATTCTGTTCACAGGAACTAGGACAATTCAAATGCTTCCTTCAAATCCTTGAAAAGGTTTAGGCTACCCAACCTATGTCTCTCTCTGAGGCAGGCAAATTGAGAGCAAAGCAGGAAGCTTCATACTCAAAGAAGCAACTCCAGCACAGGCTAATAATAGTTGTAAGAACAATCATTTTTCATCCACGTATTATATCAAATAACAAAAAACTTCTAACACTGAAACCTTAATCTTCAGCAAGTTAAAAATAAACTGTTAGTGGTATGCAAAGTCTGATTTCAACACTGGCCATAAACCTTGCAGGATGATTCAAAACCAGAATCAGCAATTTGGGAGGTTAGAGCCTTATTCTGTTGAACCAACAGTAAGAGTAGCCAGGTTCTGAGATGCCTGGAGGACAGCCCCGCTCCCACTCCACAACTCATTGCCACAGTTACGAGAGAAGAAAGTGCCAGGAAGAGGAGAGAGTACTCTCTGATAGAGTCCTGGACTTCTAAAACCCACTTCTCTTAGGTCAACAGCTGATTTTTAGCCTTCAGAGAACATTAAAAAGTCAATCTTTTAATTGCAGAAGTAACCTAGAGCAGTGACCCACAAACAGGGGGTCATAACTCCAAGTAAACTTGTAACATAAACTGGATTGCCATCCCAATGGAAATGAGGCTGCGTAGGAGCTCCCAGGGGAGAACCAGGCCCTGAGACTGTAACCACAGCCACCAAACAGTGCATTTCAGAACCACTGGCCAAATGCAACAGCTCACCCAAGCTGCTTCCTGCAGCAAAATTTCCAGTGTTTGCCTAATTTCACTTTAAAATTTCCACATCTTCCTTTTTGAGAGTACTGCAAAGCACAGTATCATGGGAGTTTCCTCTCTTTCATAGGTAATGGCTGATCATTATCTGCCATGGTACCACTGTAATGACAGAATTGTTTCTATCACAAGACTTTGCTGAGGACTTTCTTCCCATCTGCTCCTTACCTCATAGGCTCGAGAACCAGTGATGCTCGCTAGCTGCTGTGCTCCTCCCACGGCTTTCTCCAGAGCACTGCACTGGGAAGCTGTGCTAGAATCCATCCAGATGGGGCTGTTACTGACAGAAAAACAAGCCTGCAACGAACAATATCCTTTATTAGTAGGTCTGATCTCTAAGAAGTCCCTGCTAGATAAGAGCAATACAGCAGACCTACGTATCGGCTCACAGTTCAGTTCTCTGACATGCCTCCTGGTCTCCTCTCAATAATTAGAAGAAAGCAGATACTGGGCAGCATGTTGGTCAGTGGTGCAAAGTTTAACCCAAACTTCACACCAGAGGGAAGCAACAGGCTTTTTCTGCTGTTACTTGACATAAACTGCAGCACAACGTGTACATCACATACCCTGCAGCACGATGTCTCAGTACACTCCTTTGGTAGCCAAAGCCCCAGGCCCTCGTATGCAAGTTCAGCCCCACTTTTTAGAACTCCTCTCTAAACAATTGGATTATCTTTCCACAGCTCTACTAACAGATTTCTCTCTAATAACTGGCATAACCATTTGGAAATGCAACTGAGGTTTAGTACATCACCAGAGAGCACTTTAATTCCATTACCATGAGTTTTGCGCAGATGAGATACTTCCAAAATTAATCATTTAACAGATCAGTTACACAAATGTCTCTCTTTTAACATACAACTGTCCTTTCTGATCTTGAAGTAAGGAGGGTAAGGGTCTTCAAGAGGAATGCTGATCCCTCCTTACTTCTCTTTTTAAATAAAATTTGTCCAGTCTACGTTCAAAACTTACGAACCACACACACACAAAATGTTGAGGTTCAACAATATACTTGTTAGGAGTTTGTGTCCACACAGCATTATACTTCCATCCTTTCAGAGTTACGTGTAAACTGGTCTTTTTTTTTTTTAATATTTTCTAATGAAATCGCAAGCACTGCAAGGAAACTCAGGTATGATAGTATTTTTCACCACAATTTTTTGGTAATACAAATACATAAAAGAATGTAAAATATTTACAAGTTGTTTACAAAAATACTACATTTTGTAAAAGAACAAACAGGCTGTTACTCTGACACAGAAAGATTCTGGGACACCCACTTGCACCTGTAAGCTTTTAAAGCAGTATATACTGTCACTCAGGAGAAAAGGAAATGTCAAAAGCCCTGGAGTTGAAGGAATAACCAGTACATTTCACTTTATGCTGCAGGGGCATGCAACTCAGCCAAACAAGAGGAAAGGTTTGCAAGGAGAAAAGCAATGCGTAGGGATGAGAAAAAGAACAGCGTAGCTCTCCCTTCAGAGCTCTTTTACGCACGTTACCTTTAGCGACTGATGTAAAGGCAGTTCGGATGATGCATTCTTTAAAATTTGGATGCTTCCTTTTTTCCAGTACACACTCCCATGTTGCTGTAGAAAGCAGAGAAACAGAAGTTGGAGATGCTCTCCCAAGCCACGAAGTTCATATCCTGATCTGAATTTCAAACTCTAAGGGACTCTCTCCAAACTAGGACGAAAAAAATTACCTTTTCAAATCAAGTGCCTCATTAAAAGACTCTTCAAGATTGAGCAAAGCATATACTAAACCAGAAAATGTAGGAATCGAGACAATGATAATTTTCAACTATAGCAACTTCTAGTGGGACCTATTATTATACTGCTAATGGCATTAGATACTTCTTTGAGCACTCTTTGAGCTGTAGCCAGGGCTCCACAGTCAAGACTGTTAGTTCTGTGCTATTTCAGCACAGCCCCCAGATTCTTCAGTTACATGCCTGCCTCTGTCACCGCTGACAGACTGCACAATATTGAGAAGGTTATTTAAGCTCTGCCTCTCAGGCACCTTCCTCAAGGCAGGCATTTCTGGTTACGCACCTGCAGGACACCCTAGGCAAACTGCAAAGCACCATCCAGTGACCCACTAATAGTTCTGATGGCACCAAGTGCACACAGAAGCGCCTGGGCACAGAGTACTTGATCATAGTGTCATCCAGATTGTATTTCACATCTCTGCCATTTCTGCAGACAATTGAAACCAAGTTTGCCCCTACTTTGGGACAAACACTGGCACATCAGTGCACCTCTGCAGTGGTCTCCAGCATAAAGACAAGGTTCAAAGAGAAAAGGGAGACAGACAGCGTGGTTTGGAAGGGGGCAACTAAATGAAATCTTTTCTACCTGAAATAATCTGAATATAGCACCAAGTTGATACCCCCAGCTTGTTGGAGGATGGGTACAGTAAAGGGAATATGGGCAATCTGGAAACGCACTTTCTTTTTTCACTTGAGTAAGCTGGGGTTACTTGGCAGTCCCTAACTTCTGTTGCACTGAAGAATTCATAACAGAACCTTGATATCGGCTACGATTTTCAGACACTTTGCTCAGACTTTCAACTGAAATCAATGAAACATGGAGATCAAAGGAAGAGTTTTGATTTAGTCCTAGATACATCAAGATGAATAACCTAAACCTTATGTGTCAGAATTAGCTATCGCTTTGGTGCTGTCCTCACCCTGAATATCATCTGTGAAAGTTATAAAAGGCTTCCTTGGTTCACCAGAGCACTAGGAGACTGGCTAACTGACTGAATGTCAGGATGCGTTTTATAAATCTCAGAAAAAAAGGCATTATGCACTACAGGCTAAATCATGGCAGCATCTTTGTCATTTCTGCAAAGACTATCACCATTTGGTTTTTGTTGTTCCTAGGCAGATCTCTATCCTAACCAACAAAAACTGTGCTCAACGGGATGCTACTATGCCTTTAGCAAACTGCGCTCCTCCCTATTTTCTCTACCCCATTTCCCCAAGCACCTGGATATGCTGAAATTCAAAATGACCCCAGTCATTTCAGAATCTCTATGTACAAAGTGTTTAAAGAACAGGAAACCAACCAGTTACGCACTATGCCAATTTAAACAACTGCACTGTAAACCTCATCCTCCACTCCCACCACCTTCTAGTGATCGTTTTGTGTGCTTCAGGTTTTAAGTTCCCCTGAAGAACATGTCTTTTAATGGAGGCTTATATAGAAGACTCGGTCTTACTTGATGTCATTGTGGTCTTCTGCAACGTAATTATTTAAATGAAATTTATCACTATACCTTATACTCTATTTAAGAAATATAGTAAGACTGATTTTTTCTTTATAAACTAACCTGGCCAGCACCAGACAAAGCTCTGACTTGAGAGAAGTTAAAGCCCGAAGACTTCATCTTTTCCAAAATCATATCCAGAGCCTACAAGAACAAACAGAATCAAGAATGACTGTAACGAGCTATCAAATTATGCATACTCACAATCTGAATTAAACAGTAAATTCATGTCATCACTGATGAGAGTTCATTGGCAGATAATGAAAAATTAGCTAATGACTATGGACTTCTCAAGAAGCTGCATAAATTAATTTACTAAGTAAGAGTCCATAAAAGAAAAGTTGAATCACACAGGGAAAAAAAAAAAGATCTTTAAGCAAGCTGAATCACGAAGATCCATTCTTTGAAACCTCAATAAGAGGCAAGAGTTAAAGAATTCCAATTCATTAAAAAGCCCCTTTTAAGAGTGCCAGACACAAAGCAGGATTATCTTTTTCTGTTCTTACTTTTGGAAATCTATAAAATCTTAATGAGGTGCACCCTGCCCCCCACCCTACAAGATGTTAGGTATCCTCAATACCACTGCCCCCAGTGTCAGCTGAAAACTCAGGGTCTCTTTAATATGAGGCTAATTCAAGTGAATTTTAGCACTTTAAGCACCCAGGTTAATTTTGTTCTTGCCACATTTTCCTGAAGTTTAAAACCAAAAATTAATCTATCTTTACATACTCTCATTCAGATCAGGATTTCCCAGACTATCTTGATAAACGGACCACTGCAAGACTTCAAAATTTCCCAAGACACATCATATACCTTTATCATCATATTATTAATTTAATAATTACAACTGTTCCTGTTCATTATGGTTCAAAACAGCAACTGCAAGCAAATTTACCAAACCTTTGTCAGCTACTGTGGATCAGCAGCTGGGGGTTCTGTGACCTTTCAAATATCTTAACTATTCAAATCACACTAGGAAGACAAATTTACATAGTCCCATGTGAGAGCAAGTGTTGCAGTGCAGCAAGGAAGGCCTTCTTTTAAAACAGAAAAGAATGCTGCATTTCAAAATAAACACCAGTCAAAGTGACTGGGAATCACTGAATAAATTGCTCTTTAACCACTTACCATTTGAGACATCAATTGGTTAGCAAAGCCTAATCTAAAAAAATAGTGCAAGTAACCTGGATGCTACAAAAACAGAGATTTAAGCTAGGCAAAGCAACAGCTGCCCCTTTTGTGTATGAAACAAGAAGATGAGGAGAAAAAGAATAGTCATTTTTCAAATGAGGGAAAGTCAGGAAAGGATTAATCCCACATACAATGCTATAATAGCAGAGAGTGAAGAAACAAACAAAAAAACCCTTCAAAATACTAGCAACTTCCACTACCTTTGTTGATAACATTAATATTTGCATACCAAAGACACAGAATACCACTTAAAAGAAACAGAATACAAGGAAGGACTATGTTGATTTGAATGATGAGTTTCACTATTGTTTGGAATACATTTCCATTTCAATAACAGCAACGAAGAAGTCGAACTACATAAAGCTTGTTCATACCTTGACCCACATTAGCACAGGAGAAGTGACTGTCAGTCTGTCACTGTGAATATGGACTCCACCTTGAGTCCTACAGAAAAACGGTATTTTCTCTTGTTAAATTCATCAATTTTTTTACCCATCAAGCAAAGTTCTTCAAGTTTATTAATAACCAAAATGAGTCTGCAATGCTTTTATGTTAAGAGCAAGGATACAATCAGTGTTTGAAACCTGTAAAAATAAAAGCCAGCTCCTAGGAGGTGACATAAGAAATGTTTGACCCAATTGCAAAGGAAATAATTTGCAAGGAAAGGCTCTGATCCTCACGTAAGATCTGTGATAGACTCCAATGCTGATACTGCTCTTTGCCTCCATGTAATTCATAGTTATATCTAAGTTTCCTAACTGTCACCATTACTGGCTTGAATCTAGGAGATGAAATTCAATTTTTGCTGTTAAACCATCAAGTAAATAAATGTACTTCATTGAAACTTGTGACCACGGAGGATGACATTTGTAAATTCTAGTCTATTAACCGAAGTAAGCAAATACTGTCATCCTACATCCTACTGTGAGATCTGGAACCACTGAATTTGTCTCCAAATGCCTTTTAGAAGTTCCCCTCATGCGATTTACTTGCTCTTATCATAGCATCCCACCCTGACACAAAGGTGTTGCTTACTTCTGTGACCCAAAAAGCAACAGTCATGTCCACAATTCTGGAGTCCCAAAAGAAAAAAACAAATGGTTTATTTATACATAATACTTTGGGGTAGATTTTTTTTTACTTATTTCCTGTTGGGAGTTCCTGCCATATTTACTCACCAAGGAAGGCAAGAGCATATACTACCCTTGCCAAGTATCGAACATGGCATGAACTTTTTCCACGCCTCCACACATATCAATGAGACCAAGTAAGGCAACAGCCCCCCTGCCCCAATCCCCAAAGTTCTAAGTTATATTATCCAAGTAAAATATAAAAAGCCTTACTTAAATTCTGGAAGGTCTTTATCAAAATGAACATTATCTTCATAAATGACTTTCAGCTGTTCATCAATAGCAATGACTTTCAGCTAGAAGATACAAAACAGGATGTTAACAAAAACTAACAATAATTAAATAGAGCTGATAATTTATAATAATTCAATTCTCACAGACAAAACAGGAAAGAAGATCACCCCAATCCATACAACTTGCTGAAAGTATGGGCACAATTTTACATGAAACAAGTTATTATGCGAATTTCCAGCATGCCACCTACTCAGCAACACGAGTATTTGTTTGCTTGCATTTCCCCCCCCATTTTCTCTCTCCTTGAATCGCACAACATCGAGATGCAGGCATATGCAACAAATTTGTTTGCTGTTTGTAGCTTGCATCATGGTTTGTAGCTTGCATCATGGTAACCAATTTTTCCGATTTCTCCAAAGAATACAGTATCTTAAAGATGCCATATGCTCCCCCCCCCCCCCCCCGCCTCCTTTTTTTCCCCCGTCCTTTTTTTTGCCCCATCTTACCAAGGAATCTAACAGACCCTTAGGATACCTTGAGGACCTTCCCTGCTCCCCAAATGGTGAGTAAATCAAACTCCACCAGTCTGGCAAAGCTCAGATGGCATTACACACGTGTATTCTGAGCTTCTGCAACATACAGAAAGCAACATCCCAAACAGGTAACTCCATAAAGCTGAGCTTTCTTGTAAGCACAAACTGGAAGAGTACCACAAGCTTCCTCCTCTACCTTCGCTCAAGTTCACCTACTACAGAAGAAAAACATTAACAGCCTAGAAGAAAAGTGAGAAGGTAGCTAACATTCCACACATATTTTCAACAAGGAAGAGAGTGCAAACTGCTGCTAAAGGAACAGACAAAAAAAACCTACAAAGTCATCTCGAAGAGTTGTATTCAAATAACAAGGCCATCCCCATTTAGGAGTGGCTTACTTCAATTTTAGCCATACTAATGTAGCACCATCGTTTATGCGCTGGCACAACTCATTACCAAGCTGGTGCCCTGCGCTAGCTTAAAATTGGCTCTGAGCCACTGCGGCTTCATTGGCTTTCTGCTTGCAGCACGCACCCTTAGAAAAACACTTGATCAGCCTCACACGGGTAACCTGGATGTGCCTTTCCAAGCTCCCAAACTTCAGCACAGCCATAATGAAGCTATTTATGCTCATATGCCTATTGGTTAAACATATTCAGGCTTACGCACAACTTGGGCAGCATTTCTATTCGCAGTGTAGTAATACCCAGTTGTGCCAACAAATCAAAATTTCAAGAAGTAACCTGGGCATCCAGGTTCACAACCCTGCTAATCTTGATTCACACGAGGACACTAGATAAATGGGATTCAGGTGCAAATCCCAGCTGCCGTCCTGAGGCAGGCAGAGGGGTCTCCGTGCAGTCTGCGTGCAGAGAAGGGCCGTACCAGTCCTTTCCAGGATGAAATGCATCCCTGGCAGGATGGGGAAGCAGGACATGTTAGGGCACGCAGGCTACAAGTTACGGCCTCAAGCTGCGCCAGGGGAGGTCTAGGTTAGATATTAGGAAAAACTTCTTCACTAACAGGGTGGTCAAGCATTGGAAGGGGCTGCCCAGGGAAGCGGTTGAGTCTCCATCCCTGGAGGTATTTAAAGAACAGATAGATGTGGTGCTCGAGGACATGGTTTAGTGGTGAACTTGGCAGTGATAGGTTAACGGTTGGACTCAATGATCTTAAGGGTCTTTTCCAACCTTGACGATTCTATGATTCTACAGCTTCAGACAAGCAATGGGACAAAGAGAAACGGACGAAGGATGCGCTCATGCAGGCGAAGGGAAGGAGGCATGCCGACAGCCGGGCACACACGCTGCCCGTGGCCCGCAGAAGCCTTCATCATAGACCACGCAGAACACCAGGCTGGAAGGGACCTCAAGGATCCCCTGGTCCTTAAAACGCATTAAGCGCTGGGAAGTACTTTGCCTCAGCTGCGGCAGGCCACTGGCAGCCGGAGCCCTCGGCAGCGAGCGCAGCCCGGCCCCGCTGCGAAGGGGGAAGCCCTGCAACGCGCAGCCGTCGCCGGGCGGAGGACGAGAGGCGACGGGAGCTGCCCGGGGAGGAAGGCCCGTTCCCCCCCTGCGCTGCCGGGCAGGTCAGCGGGCCCCGATGGCGGGCGGGCCAGCCCGGCCCTTGCCCCCTTCCAGCTCCCCGAGGCGCGGCGGGGCGTAGCCGCCCGCACCTCAGACCCCCGGAAG